ATAGGGATTAGCTTTCTACACCCAAAGATACGATTCTCCAGGTTAGGAAAGTGATTGTTTAATCCAAAACATGGCATTTGGGCATTTCCTTACTTGTGTGACTCTTTTTGTGTCTGAACAATGGCAATACTACACTTGGGTAATGAAAAATGGAGCATTTCCTCACCTTTTCCCCCAATAAGCACTGATTTACCCACCCACCCCCAAATGAACACATTAATCCTTTACCTCCATCTTCCCCATTTCTGTTTTATCCTGTTTCACGAAAGGGCAGTTTGTCCTTCTTAATGTCGAGTGGTATTTTAGTCCAGGAACCATCGAAATAATTGGGAATATTCATAGCTTATGTCACTATGACTTCACGGCTGCTCCGTGATGAAGGGCAGAAGAACTCAGTCATGGGAGAGGGGAAGCCCTGACCTTGGGGCACTAACGGGGGCTGAGCCTGGGGCGAAGCCCCCCTCCCTGTCTGGCAGCTCTTCCTCGCCTTGTGCCCACACACACTCAGGTTTTCGGGTTCATTCGCTCTCCCGGCGTGCATGAGTTAAACGCAAAGTTTTTCATCTTTAAGATAATCCATGAGATTTGATAAATGGAGGTGCTGGGGAAGTTCTGGTGGAGCTTTTATCGAGGTATCAATTCTCCTACGTTCTCCTTGCTAGAAAATGCCCCTTTGTACATAGGGCGCCCAAGCGGCACGTGAGGATTTTGGCAGGGAGGAAAGGTTTGACTTACCCAGGTGCTATCCCCTGTCAGCACGGTGGATGTACAAACCTGATGTCATCTATTTACATTTCTAAATCGCAGCGTGGAGCGAAATGCAGCGATACGAAAGATTAGTCTTCATTCGGCGAAGTTAACTGCCAAATTAAATGATGACAGATGGAAAAACTAAGCGCCACGGTGTCAGGGGTCCGACGACAGCCCTCTGCTTCAGCAAGAGGTAAATACATAAACCTCAGCTGGTGCCTGCAGAAGATGCGCGTCCAGTTTAAAGGCAGCCCTCAGACTTTTTATTTAATCGATACCCCCTATCGAAGAGAGCGGCGTACGGCATTAGCACTAAAACAGTGTTATTAGAAAATGATATACTGCACATTAGGATGTATAATTCATGTCGCCTTCATTTGCTCAGACCGTCGCGGAAAAAAAAAAATAAAAAAATCCATAAATCATTTTCTCGTTCATGTATTGCCTAAGTGCAATTTGTCATTTCGCATTAGAGGGCCGCCTCTGATCAGCCGCGCTTTTAATTCCGTGTCTGTG